ATTTTTTACCGGGGGGGGGGGGGGGAGCGTCTACAAAAAGGGACACTATAGTGAGTGTGGAGAGATGACAGATGGTTGTTTTTGGCAAACAATTTGGTGTGGTGTCATATGTAATAGTGGAGGTCTTCCCCCCAGAAAATCTTTGTATTTTTCCACCCCTATGAGTCTGTGACTGCATTTCATGTATTTTTTGAAACAGATTTTTGGATATACAGCGTTAATTATACTGTACATAGACTGAATCTTCACGAGGACTTGCATGGTATATTTATTTAAGTGCCACAACTCGGTTACCAAATTGTTTAGCCTAGCCTTCCAACAACTCAAATCCATAATGTCTGAGATATGCTATCCATGGGAAATTTTTAAATCTAAGGTAGAGAGCACAATGTTTAGCATTTTTAAAACACATTGAATTATTTGATTATGTAAGACATAACATACGAGTCGCAAAGCATTTTTCATTAATTAGAATATCAAACGTGCTTTCTAAATGTAATTTTTCTTGCATATTTTTAGAAAAGGCCCTGTGTCATGTGAATGTACTGTATCCCACATATTAGTGACATCCACCATAGCTTCAAAATGAAACAATTACGAATTATCTCGCTCTTTTTCGTGTTTTTTTAGTTCAAGATGTATCTTTATCATATTCATTTGTACCTTACGAAGGAGTTGTACAAATTACCACTGGTAGTTGGACCAAGAATGTTTGTTGCCAAAGTTTAAATAGCCAGGCCCAGTATATTGTTTGTCGTCACCTAGGATACGACGCGGAAAGCTATCTTGTTAATGTGTCCGCTCCAACAGATGCCAAAGATGAATCATTTTCTGGAAATATAGACTGTAATGGTGGAGAGAAGTACTTATCCCAGTGTTCAATTACTGCTTCGGCCAACGAAAGTTGTTCTGGGTTATCATACATACGATGTAAGTGCATTGGTAAGATAAAACGAATAGGATGCAGATGGCAAAGAAAGGAGTAGAAAGAAATAGAAAGTATAGTAATAAACGGAAGATAGAAAGAACAAATTAAATGGGGTCAGCTAATCAAAATCTAGAATGCATGACTATCTATTTTCATATTTTAGGTGGTTATGGTTTTATGAGACCACAGTTAGAAGATAAACGAAGATTTCCTGATTCGTCATTTGGTGCTTCTGCTTCTTTAAAAGGTCACGGTGCTTCTGATGCACGGATATCTAGTGGTAATTCTTGGTGTGCTCCTGTCCTAGAAGACAAACATTACCTTCAAGTGAATTTGAGAAGACTATATTCTCTCTATTATGTCATAACATATGGTGACAGTACCAGCCCAGCATGGGTGGCTACGTATAATCTGAATTACACCATTGATTTGGTGAACTGGAAAACTTTGGTGAGAAAGAATTATATAAGGAGCCAACCATTTAAGGGGGGGGGGGGGGAGGTGATTTACTGCTGGCAGGGAATTTTTTTTCTGGGATCGTTATGGGCAAGTTGCTTTTTCTGTCCGAACACCATGTACGATTATTTTTCCACTCTCTCTTTCGCAGCATTTTTTTTTCAATGGCTTATACTATTTAGATTCTTTAATTATAGTTAACGTTGAGTTTTCTAGCTTCATGCATTGCTTGGCCTCTTTTAAGGCAGGACCGTAGGAAACTCTTTTCGATTGGGGGTGGGTGTTGTATACGTAAAGCGAGGGTCGAAGGTCCGAGGAAATTTTTAAATTTAGAGTCTCTGAAATGCCATTTCCTGAACTTTGGGAAAATTTTGACAGAATTCTGATAGTCAGCGTTTTAGTATGTTGAAATTTACAATTTAGTAGTACTAAATAAGCGATGGCGTATTTAATTAACTATATATTGGATAAGTTGCAAGAAAGTATGGGTAATATCTTCATTCTTTGCAGCTTGTCATGGATTAAATAATAAAGGTCTGCATGATTTTGAAAAAAGAATGATTATTAGAAAATTATTGGGGGGGGGGGGG